GATAAATTGAGGTTTAACGATATATAATTTATATTTTATAAAAAATTAAAAAATCCTAAAAATAATTACAGGTTACTAGTATAACTGGAACTGGTTAGTTCATAATTATCTTGATTTCCTGTTTATTTTCCTATACTATCCTATTTGCTTGATTTTCGTTTAATACATATTCTTAATTTATAATTTAATGATTTTATCAACTTATCTGGTTATTTTGATTATATACCGTTTGCATGAATGTAGTTTAATTGATTTGTGAATGTAATATGAGATTTTAGTATACGTTTGTTGGTTGTTTGTTGATGAAAATTTGTATGTGAAAGACTTGCTGGTTACCCAAAAAAATAACGGACGTGCTCGATACATAGAAAATTCTACCGTGAATGTTATCTCAATTGAACGGGAGTAGGAAGTCCCTTACCGAAAAGATTTGTAAGATATGATTTATCCTCATACTAGACGAGGTATCGAGACGATGGAATGTTTAGCATCCATTATCGGACAGGGTATGGGGACGACCAGTTAATTGTAAAATTGGATATTGGGTTCACGAGTTAGAGGAGACATCCTTATGGAACCCTAGGGCTACCAATAAATAGATAAGAAAGGAAAGTTATTGTCTCTTGTTCTCTTATGTGTGAAAGTGAAAAGTGGTATGGATATGAGTGTCTTCATAGGTTATTTTTGGAAAACTCATTACGGTAAGTATCAAACAAACATCTTCAAGTTTAAAGGTATTTAAATAAAGTAAGGGCTCTATTAGTTGTTTTTCTTATTTTTACCAATCTTCAGTTTTTCGTATCTGTGATTAGTGTGATATTCTTATTGGGTAAGTGTAGCTCAACCTTTTATTAACCATTTTAGGTTAAAAGGGTCAGGATTCAGATCCCAATCAGCAAGAGGGTTATAAGTAGTTTACCACTCAGACTCCCTTCAAGTACTAGTAATGGTTCTCCTAAGGTACTTTTGTATTCATTTTTCTTTTCATTTCTTAAATTACCATTTGTCTTTTAGAAGATACGTTTCTGTGATCCTGTTTGGCATTCTAAATTATTGTATAAGGAATGTAAACTCTAACTCTTTTAATCGCTTCCGCATTTAATTTTATAAATTCATTTTCATTTAAGTTCCGGACCTTTACAGTTTAAGTTCTAAATTCTTTATAATATTGTTCTTATTATAATATTCTATCATCATTCATATGCATTAGTAATCTAATTAATAAAATATATGTATTTTTATTTTAAAATTTTAGATAATAAAAAATAATTAGAAATATTTATCAAAGATAAATGTTGAACCGTAGAAATGTATATATCTTTATTTTCAAATCAACTCTCCCTTTTAATTAAATTTACCAATTGTATAGTTTCTAATAAGTTATGTCTGGATATTCTATTAACCAAGTTATAGCATAAAACAACAATTCTCCTATTTTTGTCTAAAAAAAAATTAGGGTACCATACAAAGAAAAGATATTATACGATCACTTAAAACCAAAGTTTTAACTGTTTTATTTTCATAAATTCACTAGGATATGTGAAAATAAATTAGACAAAATGATTATCTAATACTTATAATTATTAAAGAACTTTTTAATTTAATTAATATAATTATTAATAACTAGAATATGGCACACTGAAGGCGCAATCAGTGACCTAATAATTAATAATTTGTATTATTACATCATTTGACATGTTCACATGGTTTGACTGTTTTCAATATTTGTATCTACATCAGTATATAATTTATGACTTAGACTCATTCTTTATTTAGGTGAATAATGTTTTAAATTCAACTTTAATTACTAATGTCTATGTAAATGTATACTCTGATAATTAATTTTTATAATAAAAAATTATAAAATCAATTTTTGTTTATATTTTTATGGGTCCCACTACGTCTTAACAAGTTCTTACAGGTTGCCGCGTCAATATCCATGTGTACATCGGACCAGTTACATGCAATTCAAGAAACGGTTCGTTTTAACCGGAGAAACAAACACGATTCCCAAAACTGCGCCCGTAGTAACAATAGCCTAACAGCCCACAGTTTGAAAACTCCGTTTCTCACTCAGTGATCAGCTTTTTAAGTGTGCTAATTAGCGAAAACTACTACTAAAACCCTTTTTTGCAGGTTCAACCTCTGTAACCACAACCTCCATGGATTCTGTCTTTGGCAACCTCGCTCGAGCTCCTGAAGATCCCATTCTAGGGGTACTCCTTACTCTTGCTCTTCGATCTTGATTTAGTTTGATATAATGTTTGTTTCTATCGATTTTTTTTTTCCTTTTTCTATATTTTATTTTATCACTCGATTAATTATCGTCGGGTCCCGCATTGTTTTGGCTGCGATCTGATCCTCTGTGGTTGCAAAATGGAAGAATTGGATTAGCGAATGTCAATTTTACATGTACACATAAAACAGATCAAGTATCATGTTAATTTTTTTTTTTGCTGAAATTTCATTTCCAGTAGAATAGATAATATATAGATTTGTGTCACTGTGAAAAGAAAACATGAGAGAAACAGTAAGAGCTGTCATAAATTGAAAAGAAATGGTGATTTTGACAGCTGCGTCATATTTTCTTGATTTAATCGNTATCGAAGAGGGAACTTAGTGAGGCTTCCCTATTAAAAAGTCATCTAGATAGGCAAGAAACACTACGGCTCCAGCATAGCCAGGGTTTGTGTAGAAATTGGTCTTCTCTTGCTTTGACTCGAGCCTTTCTTCCATTGAAAGGGACTTGTTTGAGTTTGACTCGACTCAGGTTCCTAATGAGAGGGGGTGAGTGAGGATGGATGTTAAATAGAAGAATGGGTAGTTAGGCTAGTCTGGTAGAATCCCGTCCATACTTCTATATTCAGAAGTTACAGTAACCATTGAACATCCTACTCAAGAGTAGTGCCAAGCTGGGTAGATTTTCTTTGGGTTTTAACATATCTATTTGAGTTGTTAGCATTAGCTCCCTAGAAGTCAATCAATTAGATGTTCCTTGGCATGTTAGTTTATAAATGAACCCTACCAGTCTTTTTGTGTTATATTGAACACGCCATCTTTATTGTAATTAGAGGAATATCTTCTTGATGTTAACTTGAACCTTATAGAATTTGTTGATATTATTAGCAACCTCATGATTGATCTTGTAACGGCATTATACTATAATCAGATCATTATCCTCTAAGGCATAGAGAGATTGCTCAGAAATATATTGTACATGTGCCTGATCTACACTTTTAATATAGTATGCTTGTGCCTGAGGTGGCGCGCCAATTTATAAATAATAGACTGGGTCATTCTATCAACTTAGGTTTCTGAAATAATAAGTTCAACTACTATTTAAGCATCAGAAGCTAAGATGTAGTGTACAAATTATGACTGCTCCTTTCTGTGAAACATCAATTTTGTAAAAGATATGGTCGCCCAGTGTTTGATCCGCACTTTTAACCTAGTGATTGTAGACTAACTTATGAACTTAAGTTTTCAAAGTATTTGGTTCAACGTTGTTTTTGTTGATATATGTTGTTTCTCAATTTGTTGTACAGGTCTGCAAGACAGCAGATGTGGCTAGCAAAGTTGAGAGCCAGTTGAAACTGGTTATTAGGCCCATGTACTCTAATCCACCTATTCATGGTGCATCAATTGTTGCAACCATTCTCAAAGACAGGTACTTTTGGCAGTTGCAGCTGGCTAACTTACAAATTGATGCTGGACACTATCTAGAAATTGATAATCATCATCATACAATTATTCAACAAATGACACTTCTGTAGA